GAAAATTTTATAAATGATGTTTGACCTATACGAGATTGCTTGTTAAGATATTATTATATGGTGTTAATCAGTCGAGATAAATTCATTGTGGATTTTTGACATATCAGAGATTGTTTGTCGGAGCGTTATTCCATGATGTTAATATATGGTTGGGAAAGTCCTCTATGGTCGACGGCCAGGTGGTGGTTGACGGAAGTTCCCTGGTGATAGTGCTTAGGTAGAACTCTAGGATCCTTGAAATTTCATAGCTATTTCCAATCTCCTGCCAAAGGTCCAAGACCCCTCCTTCATGAAGAGAGCATGAGCCAATTTATAGATTTTGTGAGTTGCACGCTCTATAAATATGAAAAAGATCCAAGGTAAAATTGGAATGATCAATTAGACTACTCACATTGATTCCCTCGATCATAGTGTTCATCAAGGATTTGAGTGTCATAATAATGTTAGAATTAAGTGATTCTAACCTCGTTGGATTCGTCTCGCTCAATTCAACTATAAGCATGATATATTTGGATATCATTTGGCTATCCACTTGATGCTTTAAATCTTCTAAATGTGCTTCAACCCCTCAATTTAGACCATTTGAGCTCAAATTAAATTTATTTTGGTGTCATTGGGTTTGTTTGTTCGAGACGTTTAGTTTGACTATAAAGTTATTGAAATCAGAGTTTAGATTATCCCAAATTTAATTTTAGAAGTTTCTCACTTGAATATACCTCCTCAAGATTCGTATTTAATAAAGATAATTTTTGGTGAGTTTCAAGTTATTAAGAATAGCTAAACTGCGGTTCTATTTCTAAATTTATCAAACATTTAATTTTGGCTCTAAATAATAATAAACAAACAAAAAAATTTTGCCCTGTGAGAAACGCGGAAAAGACGCTGTCCAAGGCCCAAACCACGAGCACGTGCTTTATTTATTTATTAAACAAGCTTGGTCTGAATTGAAGAAGGTGTCCAGTTTCCTTCTCCATGACGTTTCATATCGCAGTTGTTTATGATTTTCTTCCCATTTCTTTTGGTACGCGTAATGTTTCGCTCTTCTGTATTGAACAGATCCGGTTCGGTTGCAGGCTGGCTGTTGCGGTGTTGCCAGTTGGACTATCTTAAACAAATCAATTGAAAATTTATAAGAGAGAGAGAGAGGGACACGAACGCAGATAGTGTCATCAAAATAGGTCTGAATCCTTTTTATATCAGTCCGACCAATTTAATAAACATGTCAAAAAGTGGATCCAAACTCGACCTGCTAGCAACTCGGATGATCCGAACCTAATATGATTACCCGTTTTAATTAATTAAAATATCACTATCAACTATAGAGTTTAGATTACTTGATCAAAAATAATAAGTCATATGAACGAGCAAAAGAATTTAACGAAAAATAATAAGAGTAAACGAGTCACTTTCGGGTCAAAGTTTGGTTCGCAGGTTAATTGAAATTCAGCCTGTTTAACAAACGATTCGAAAATTCGAACTCAAATCAAACTTGTTTATTAAATGGATCAACTATAACCCTAATTTTTTTGTTCGGTCTAAGTTGGATTTTTTATTCGGGTATTTATTGACACCCTTAGACACAACTGACAATAACATATATGGACACATAAATGGGATGTGAACAAAGATCGAGACACATCTATTAATATTATTGAAATTATAAAAAATAGATATGCATCGAACATTGAATTATTAATTTTTCATATTTTAAAATTAAAAAAATGCATATAAATTAAAAGAAATAAATAGAATATATAAACTTATAGAATTATAGCAATGCTCATTATTTTTATTGTGTGTTGCAAATACACATAAAAATATACACAAGATATCAATATCATAGCTTACACAAATGACATATAAAATCATAAAATGAAAACTGAAATGGTATATTATTTGAAATTTATCTGATTAATGATGGTTTGTATTGTAATAAACTTATATTATTGTTGCGTCCTGGAATATTAACGATGGTAGAGAAATATGAAGTTTAATGTCTTAGCATTGTACGATAATTTAGCACGCATACATATAAGAGATAGGGTGTAGTGTTCATAAGAGACATAACAGTTTTTATGTAAAAACCCCTGAAAAGGGGGAAAAGTCACGGGGCCTGGCCTAGTTTGAATGAATTCACTAGTATTTGCAGTCGATTACAAATGAGGCCCTTTCTTGGGAGAAGGCATTAGCTTGATGTTACAAATGCACATCATATAGAGCATATTAAAATGTGAGAGTTACAATAATCAACATAAGCATGCTTGTTTGGTAGGCAGGACCATAGTCAATAGGATAGAGGTCAGAAAGATCATAGTAGGTAGAAGTCAGGGGTCAGAAAGACTATTATCTGACAATGGAGGTTAGAAGGACCGTAGTAGACGACGAAGGTTGGAAGGACCATAGTCGACATAAGACAGGGGTCCGAAAGATCGTAATTGGTAGGAGACCGGGGTCAGAAAGACCATTGTCTTATGATGTAGGTAGGAAGGACCGTAGTAGGTGACGGAGGTCAGAAGGACCGTAGTCGACAGGAGACAGGGGTCCAAAAGACTGTAGTAGTAGGGCGGTGCTCTGGTAGAACTTTAGGTATCAGGTGGTGGCTCGGTAGAAGTTCGAGCCTCAGGTGGTGGTCTAATAGAAGTCCGGGGCTCAGGTGGTGGTCTCGCAGAAGTCCGGGCCTTAGGTGGTGGTCCGGTAAAACTCTGGGTGTTAGGTGGAGGTTTGGTAGAACTTCGGGCCTCAAGTGATTGTCAGGTAGAATTCCAAGCCTCATGTGGTGGTTCGAAAGAAGTCCGGGCCTCAGGTGGTGGTCTGCAGAAGTCTAGGCCTTAGGTGGTGGTCCGACAGAAGTCCTGGCCTTAGGTGGTCATCCGACAGAAGTTCGGGCCTTAGGTGGTGGTTCGGCAAACTTCCGGGTGTCAGGTGGTGGTCCGGCAGAGCTTCGTGCCTCAGTTGGTGCTTCGGTAGAAGTTTAGGCATCATGTGTTGGCCCGACAGAGCTCAGAGCCTCAAGTGGTGGTCCGGTGGAGCTCAGAGCCTCAAGTGATGATCTGGCGGAACTCCAAGCGGTGGTCGAGGAGGAGCGAGGAGGCACGGGTGATCTCCGATCTCTCTCTTGCTTGGAGCCTCCCTCTCAATAGGAAGGAGGGGTTTATTTATAGATTTCCTAGAGTGGCATGACCCATAAATAGGTGGGAGGTCAAGGGCATATAAGGAGTGGCATGGATGGATGATCGATGTTGAATCTCTTGATCGTTGACTGTTTGATAGACATTTGAATGTCTCAATGATGTCAGAATATAGTGATCTTAGACTCGTTTGATTCCTCTCGTCGAGCTGCTCGTTTCGAATATAAGCACGTCATGTTTGGAATCGGTTTGGTAATCCAAATTATGGTTCGAACCTTTCAACATCTCTTCGGACCCTTGATTTGAACCCATTTGAGCTTGAATTGAGTTGAACTTGGTGTCGTTGGGTTCGTATTTCTGAGACGTTCAATTCGACTATAAGTTTGCTCAAATCGGAGTTTGGATGGCCCCAATTTAATTTTGGAAGTTTCCAACTTGATCATGCCTCAAGATTTGTGCCCGATCAAGATAATTTTTTGAGTACTTATAAAGTATTATAGTTAAAAACTATTTATTTGTAGGATTCATCTCTATTATTTTCGATTACTAAGTGTTTATTTGGGTACCTTATGCTTCAACATTGAGAGGAGAGGTTGAAATCATCGCCTCAATGGTCATTGGGGTCGGCTTTGGCATAAAAGGAGGAAAGGATGTGTCAGACCTTAGGATCGAGCTTTGTCTATTTGAACCCTATTCGACCATTTACTAGGCACCTATTTTAGGCCATCCGGGCCAATGGGCTATTCTCAATCAGAACACAAAAAAAAGATAATATTCATAATATATTATTTCTCATACTTTATTTTATTTTGTAATCATATATTTATATTTAATTATGTAAAAAATATTTTAATTTCTAAAAAATAATGTGTTCTTAAATTATTATTTCTTAATTATTAATAACAAAATTTTACACATAAAATTTTAAAATTAATAACCAAATTTTCTAATTAAAAAAAAACAAATGTTAGCTTACTTTACGCATATATATTTGCCTTATATATATATATATTTGCCTTATATATATATTTGCCATTATGTTACTTGTTAAAAATATTGAAATAGGAAAGGTATAATAGATTTATAGTTCAATAAAACAAATGTTAGCTTACTTTACGCATAAGTAGAGTAAATTAATATGTTCATCTATTCTTAAAAAAAATCATCAAACAATTAATAAAATATTAATGAATATTTAACAAGAAAATCAAAACAAATAAGTATAGAAATGCATAGCCGAACTTATGTAAGGTTCTGATTTTTATTTTAATTTTGCTTCTCTGTTCTTAGTCGTGATTTTTTAAATAAAAAATAATGCATGCAATTTATAAGAAATAAATAGAATAAACTAATAAAATTATAATAGTGCTCATTGCAAACGCACATGAATATACACAAAAAATATTAAATAGTACGCCTTAAGTAAATAGCAGATAGTATGAAAATCATTATATATAGGGAATGGAGTTATCTACCGGATACCACCCCCTTGGGAGGTGTATGGCGGCGTAATTAATCCCTTAGCGAGCTTATCAACAACTAGTCATGTAGGTGCAGGACCTACAGTTATATTCTCCCCACTTAAGAGGTCGCGCCGCATAAGAGCTGATTCGAACATGAGTTCTACCTTAGCCTTTAGAGTCAGTATATTCATAGTCATATTTTAAAGAAAGTCAATGAAGGTTCATATAACTATTATTGGGACATATTTTGGCATTGTATTAGCCTCAGAGTACAATATATTACAAACGTTTTAGCAGAAAATGGCTTAAGAGATTTAGATTTGGGACAGTTTTTGGTACTATTTTTTTCTTGGTTCTAAGAAATTTCTACGCTAAAAGGTTATTATAGAAAACAGTAATAAAATTAAGATTATCCCAAATAAAGCCGTAGTAATTCTCTCAGCAATTTACAGCTCCAACAATTACTTCTTCAGCTTACTGATCCTCCACACTGCTCTCCAATCGTTCTTCTTCCTTCTCGACAAGTACCAATTTTTCATCTTTATCATCTTCTCCGTTTCCTTCATTTCCCTGATCTTCGTCCCTCTTTCCACGCAGAAACTGGATCAGACCCTCCAAAGCAACATCAACATCATCACTTCTCATCAATTGCTCTGCAACTTCAGCCGGCGTGGCCTCCACCTCTTTCAACAACCCTTCAATCTCCTCAAACATGAGATGCTCATCAATGGCATGGTAATTAGATACTAAAATCCTGAAACTATTTGGCCCACAATAACCCATATTTATATGCATATCCATCCTTCCAGGTCTCAGCAATGCAGGATCAAGCTTTTCTTTATAATTAGTTGTAAATACGACGATCCTCTCCTCGCCGCTTGTCGACCACAGCCCATCAATGAAGTTCAGCAATCCAGAAAGGCTTATCTCATCATTACGAGACTTGTTGGTTTCATTCTTTTTATCATTATTCCTGTTCTTAAAATCAATGGAACAGTCAATGTCTTCAATAACAAGCAGTGATTTGTTCTTCATTGAAACAAGCAGCCTATTAAGCCCAGAGTTCATTCGAACCTCCCTGAGGTTCAGATCATAGATATCAAATTTGAGGTAATTCGCCATGGCACCAATCAAGGTCGATTTACCCGTTCCAGGAGGCCCAAAAAGTGTTAAGGAAGTTAATTACATCGATTTATATATTGTACCAATGGCTAACTTACACGTGTACTCTATTATACTAGAATAGGTTATATATAGGCCTCGGCTGTTTGTATGAAGCAAGGAAAAACAATAATAAAAGTTTCAGTTTTCTCTTCTTCTTTCTCCATCTGCTACCGCTGTTCAAGAAGTCTCAACTTCTACATGGTATCAGCAAGTAGGCGATCTTGAGGGTCTGATAATGACGACTCAGGCTTCAGCTTCTTCGTCGATCGGCACCACCGCATCAGGAGCAGCCACCTCAAATCCCCTTATCTCTCCGTCTCTAAAATTTGTAATTTCCAATCTCAAGTTTCTTGTTCCTCATGCCCTTACTCCGGACAACTTTCCGATATGGAGCACTCAAATCGCTAAGCTCCTCAAGGCTAATGGGTTTGCGGCATTTCTTGACTCCAAACCGGATCAAGAAAATGAAAATCCAAATCAAGATTCGAGCTCGTGGCACGTCACCGATCAGAATCTTGCGACGGCCATGTGCTCCACCATTTCGCCAGCCGTTCTTCCTTATGTGATTCACCTGGAATCAACTCACGAAATTTGGGCTACTCTCCACAACAGATTTCAGGCATCGAATCGATCCAAGGTAATACAGCTTAAAAACGAACTACACAATATTTCTATGCAGGCAATGAATATGACTCAGTATCTCACTGAGATCAAGAAAATAGTCGACCAAATAGCGTCGGCTGGCTCGACCGTGGATCCGGAAGATGTCATAATATACATCTTAAATGGACTTCCACCGGCCTACCAATCGTTTGCTACAACTATCCGCACTATGCAAGGATCATTATCTCTTGATTCTCTCTATGCGCTTCTAATAAGCGAGGAAATTCATCTCAAGTCGGCGGCCTTGAAATTTCCCAAACCACCGGACAATCAATCCGCTCTGTACACAGGCAGAGGCAGGGGCAGGCGTGGACGTGGAAGACCTGTCTCAAACTCGGCGTCGAACGCGCTCCCCAATCCGAATGCATCCATTCAGTGTCAGATTTGCAAGAAAAAGGGTCATAGTGCTGAAGCGTGCTGGCATCGAATGAACCCCAACTATACACCTCAACAGTCGGCGGCAAAGAACACGAGCGCACTTCTTGCCAATACCGAAAACCAGTCAACATCGGACTGGTATATCGACTCCGGGGCGTCATCTCATATGACCAACTCCATCGAGCATTTGGACTGCTACAACACCTACAATGGCAACGAGAATGTCATTCTTGGGGATGGCCGAGCAATACCAATTGCTCACACGGGTTCTGGATTACTTCCGACCCCGGCTAGTAAGCTAATTTTATCAAAACTCTTGCATATTCCTTCTCTGTCTTACAATTTATTATCAATTTCAAATCTGGTTAAAGATAATCCCATTTCAATTACTTTTGACGCAACTGGCTTTGTGTTTAAGGATCGGATGACAAATCAAGTCATCCTTAAAGGCCCGTGCGATCAGGGTGTGTACAAGATTGCCAAATCCGTCAAGGACGAAGCAGCTACAACACTTACCGCCAATAGACTCACGTCCGCAACCTGGCACATGCGTCTGGGACATCCAAATCATCATGTCCTTCGGCACATTTCTAATAATAATCCATCGTTACACATCTGTAATACTAGATATACTTGTACTCAGTGCTTGTCTTGTAAGGGTCAGAAATTTGCTTTTGAAAATTCTATTACTACAAGTCATTTTCCGCTTGAATTGGTTCATTCCGACGTGTGGGGACCTTCACCAGTGCCCTCACACCAAGGATATCGATATTATGTTATATTCGTCGACGACTTTTCTCGATTTGTTTGGTTATTCCCGCTCGTCCATAAATCGGACGTCACAACTACTTTTATTTCTTTTGTGCATTTTGTTGAACGTCAAACTAACAGGAAACTGAAAATCATTCGAACGGACGGTGGAGGCAAGTTCGTTAACAGCCGGTTTCAATCATTCACTCAGGAAGTCGGAATTAAGCATCAAACGTGCTGCCCCTATACTCCAGAACAGAACGGGATAGCAGAACGAAAACACAGACACATCATAACTATGACCAGAACCATGCTATTCACTGCCGGGCTTCCTCTAACCTACTGGCTCGACGCTGCCACAACCGCAGTCTACTTAATCAACAGGCTACCTTCCGCAACTATAAAGAATGTAGCCCCTCTCTATCGAATGTTCAAGGTTTCACCGTCTTATTCACACCTACGCGTTTTTGGGTGTGAATGTTTTCCGCTGCTCCCTCCTACGCAACGAACCAAGCTTACACCCACTTCCACTTCTTGCGTCTTTTTGGGTTATTCTGATATTTCTAAAGGCTATAAATGTCTTAATCCGGTAACGAACAAAATTTTTGTATCTAGAAACGTTCATTTTAATGAATCTGTTTTTCCGCTTAGATCAAAGAATACTCAAGAAACTGTTCAGCAAGACCTCATGCCACCATCACTTCTTATTCCGCCCTCTACGCTTCATCGTCCAAATAAAATCAGCGTGCCACCACCTGTTCGATCAATGCCTTCAACGTCCACTGAACCTGCTCAAGCAAGCCCTCCGGTATGCGATCCAGTTCAGCTTAGGATCACTCCTCCGGCGCCAACAAACTGCAATACCACACACCCCATGACTACTCGGACCAAAACGGGCTCGCTCAAACCGGTTCACAAATTAAATCTGCTTCATCAGGACACCATTCCAAGCGATCCAACTACATATGCGGAAGCAAGCAAGAGATTTGAATGGCGACAGGCAATGGCACAAGAATTCTACGCTTTACAGAAGCAGGGCACTTGGACGCTAGTTGCTCCTCCACTAACGGGCTCGGTTCTCGGCTCCAAGTGGACATATCGTACTAAGTTAAACTCAGATGGCTCGGTAGCTCGTCACAAAGCCCGGTTGGTAGCTCAAGGTAACCAACAAGAATATGGCCTGGACTACCAGGACACGTTCAGCCCCGTGGCCAAACTTCCGACAATTCGAATCCTGTTCACCATCGCGCTGTTTCATCGATGGAAGGTTCAGCAACTAGACGTTGCGAACGCGTTCTTACATGGCGATATCAATGAGACAGTATACATGAGACAGCCCAAAGGATTCGAAGATGCTTCTCATCCCAACTACGTGTGCAAATTACAAAAAGCCATTTACGGACTACGTCAAGCTCCGAGGCAATGGTACACAACATTCACCTCATACCTTCTAAAGCTCGGGTTTCAGCACAGTCAAGCGGACCCGTCGCTCTTAACTCTAAACCGCGATCGCACTCGTCTCTATCTCCTGGTATACGTCGACGATATTCTGCTCACAGGTAATAGTGAACGTGCGATGACAGATCTAGTAAATCAGCTGCAATCTCAGTTTACAATGACAAATTTGGGTACCGCAAATCACTTCCTCGGTCTCAAAATTGAACACACACCAGATAAGTTCTTTCTATCTCAATCCGTTTATGCCAAATCAATAATTCAAATGGCCGGGTTACCCAAATGTAACTCGGTCGCTAACCCGTCATTTACAAAACTTCCAGCCTCCAATTTGCCCGCGGAAGCTGCCTTCGACGAACAGGTATACCGCAGGATTATAGGTTCACTGCAGTATTTGACACTCACCAGGCCGGACATAGCCTATG